CGTGCCAGTCCACTCCAGTCGTGACTCATGCCTTGGAAGACGCACCTGAAGCCGAAGTGCATAGCAAGCGTGAAGAGTTCGAAGGCGGCCAGGACAGGTTGGGCGCCGCAACTCGGCCCCAGCAGACGAACTCCTCTCCACAGCGCCGAAACCGAGCTCCTTCCAGACAGTTCACCACCTGAGGGAAGTGTCAAGCAGGAGAACACAACCTTTTTCTGCGGCTTCCCCATGTCGTCGCCGTCCGAGGACCAGTTGGCGCAGGCCCTCAGTGGGGTGCCGCAGGCGATGAAGGCCGCTCTCTACGAGGCGGTCTTGAGCTTCTCCGAGCCGGGCAGTGCCCTCGCTGATGCATCTGGTGCGGCGGAGAGAGCGGGTTGGCACAAAGGATCCAGTGGATCTATCTCCGATGCCGAGTTGTTCCAGAGGGCCCTCCTGGGATACAGCTCTCCGGCAGTGCCGGCCTCGGCCTCCTGCAGCGCAGAGCCACCGAGTGCGATGCGCAGTGCGCACGCCGAGTCTTCCAACAAGCCCGCGGACACCGCCCCGGCAGAGCCGGCTACTCCTCCCGGCGAGAAAGTGCGCTCGCCAACCAGTCCTGCAGAGCAGGTTAAAGAAGAGGCGCAAGCGGCAGAGCCACCAGACTCTGCCATGGAGCCGGACGAGGGCGAGGAGAGCGAAGAAGAAGATGAGTCCGAGGACTCGCACTCCTCGGACGATCGCCCCCCACCCGCGTCAGTGACGCGGGCACGTCCGATGCAGACCCCCCTAGAAGGGCGGGTGGCGCGCAACTCCTCCAGGCGCAGAGGCGCACGTGAGCCGTAAGCGCCCCCCGCCGCCAACGTCGCGCCGAGCGCGCAGTGCGCGCAACCGTGCCAGTGACACGGACGCGGCCGAGGCGAGCGCACCTCCCACGCAGGCTAAGGGCAGTGCCCCGCCACCGGCCGATGATGCGCCACGGCAGGTGTTCCTTTGCAGTGGGTGTGACACCCAAATGAACATTTGGGAGGACCGTGCCAGTGAGTACGTGTGCTCCGCCTGCGGTCTTCACGAGCAGTACCAGGCAGCAGTGCTGTTGTACGACCGCCCCAGCGCCAGTGGCGCCGTCGGCCAGTTCTCCGGAACAGTGTTCCGACTTAGTTTTTTGACCCGGCCTTTGGTGCAGTGCACCCTCCCATGGCCATCCCTCCAGCCCTGAACAGTGTTCAGGCGTCGGCAGCCGCCGAGGCGCCAGTAGTCAGCCTTTCTGCGGTTTTGCAGAAGGCCGGCGCAGAGCGTCTGGATCTTCGGGCAAAGCCCACAGACGAGACAGTCCTCGCGTCGAGGAAGAAAAAGTCGTGACTCACTCCGCTCTGACAGGGACATGTCCTCGGCTTGTAGTGCGAGGGTGCAGAGCTCCTGGTAGGACCTCTGCTTTTGTGTCCGCAGCCACTTTTAAGCTTTCTGCCCAGCAGTTCTGTTTTGCGCTTTGTTCCTCCCACCCTCTCTCAGGACCGGCTGCGCTGAGGGAGGGGAGGGTCTGTCTTGCGTGCCTAGTAGGTTTCAGCGCTGACTGCGTTATTTTTGAGCCTGAGCATGCTCGTGCTGTTCGTAGCAGCCTCGCTTGTAGCTGTTGTGGCTCTTTCTGTTTAGCTTCTGGCAAGTTGCCTTGGCACAGTCCCACGGACGTGCCTTCCAGGAGTCAGGTTAGTAACCTGACTATGGACGTTGACGATAAGGTTGGTAACCTGTGGCTCAGTCTCCCGCGCAGGGCTCGTGCCCTTCAGCCGTGGGAGTCGGCGTCCTGGATGGCTCGCTCAGCGGCCTGGCCGTGGGAGCTGTCAGTGACACAACCACCAGCAGTGGATCCAGTACCCGTGGT